CATTCAACGACCACCAACATCAGTGTCAAAATCATTCACACTACACTGTGATTTCAGACGGGTTACTCTAGTAATTTCATAAAATGTAAAAACACTGTAAAATTCTTATTCCAGCCTTTGCATGTTGTAGTTCCATGGCAAAGTATAATCAAAACCCAAAAAATGTTAGTTGACCCAACCTTTTAGCTATGGCCAACCAAAACTAAACGGAGATATAACGTTGCTACCAATCAATAAATTTAACGGTGAATGATGTTGGCCGCTAACCATCAAGAAATAAATTAGAGCAGCGACTGAGTGTGACCGGAGAATGACCGGAGAAAGAATGTCATCCTGTATTTTTTTTCTTACAATTATGGAATACGAATTTGAACAACTATCTTTGCATTCAATTATCGGATATGAGCAGAAAACTGTCTGGACAAGGACAACAGCACTAGCATCACAACAACCAGCTACCATACAGCATTCCAATGCATAACTTTTTGTTTGCATAAAAAGTAGTCATATACAATAAATATATCATAAAGGATATACAGAGAGAAGTATTTAAGAATTTAACCTAAAGGACAGCCATCAAACTTCATGAACAAGAATAGGGGAAGAACTTGTATAAATTTTTAAAAAGTCTGATTGTTGACGCAAATACTTTTTGTGTCGTTAAATGAACTTTTTTTTATCGTCGATACTAAAAATACTTTTTTTTGTAGTGCCTTGATTTTTTGGAAACCATACTGTTCAGTCGCTTTCTGAGTAATATGTTCTTTCCATTCAATGGAGTGGTTCTTAATTTGTGATCATCACTAACTAGACACTTTAAGGTTATTGTAGGTTTTTTGACAGTGTCTTTGCTTTTCTTATGTTTTATTTTAACTTTGTTATAGTTTATTGTTTTCTCTGTATTTTTAATTGACTAGTTTTCGTATGCACCATGCTAGATAAAGCAAGTTTTTAAGGAACAAATTTTATAAAGTTGGAGAGCCTGAGTTCGAGCCTTCTCTTGGGGCTAATTACCTTAAGGATTTATGTGGTGATCGGACGGTTTGAATCAAGAGGATCAAATGAGTATTGTAATTAGGGGTGTTAAAATATGACACGATCCTTTAACACATCACGAATACGACATGAAATTAAAAAAATTTGAGTCTTTCTTAAATTACCTATTTAATAAATAAGTAGACCTAACACGATACGATTAATAAGCGAATCAGGTATGAGTGAATATATACATTATACGACTCCGTTATATATTAGTTATACACGGTTTATACACAAAACAAACCCGATATAAGATGAATTAATAAACAAATTAAATATAGATAAAATATTTTTTAATACGAATTTGTTAAGACTCAACACGAACTCAACTTGTCGGACACGATTGACGGACTTAGCTGTTGGAGTCCATACAACTCCAAGTCAACAAAGGAAAAAAAATTAAAATTGCATTCTATAGTATTTGTTAACCGCCCATTTTGCCTGTGTAATTGTATCTTTTTTTTTTTTGATAAGCCAAAAAAAAGATTGGAGTAAAGAAAAGTTCTCAGAGACCATCCCGTTAAACTCTCATTAGCGGGATCATGAGACTCCTAATCGTGTCTGTTACTCTTTTTGAAAACGAACTTAGTTAGATTAGCATAACAATCAATTACCGAGTTTCAATATAGATTCCAAAACTCAAACCCACGTTGGGGCTCAGTTGTAATTGTATCTACACACAGTCAACCAACCTTTTGGAAGATTGTATTCAAGAGATCTCTCTCTCTCTCTCTCACAATATCTCTTTTAAAACATCACAGTGATCTTTTTTGCTAGGCTTTAATCAATCTGCTGATCTCTTTTGTAGTTACACATGAGTTCATATATTTCTCATATCAAAACCCAGATTAAATATTATTTTGGTCATACATGACTCTACCTAACCAAAAACCAAAACATATTAGTTGACTTCAACATTTTCTATGTTAATTAGTGGAATAACCAACAAATTCAATGCAAACCGCGTAGATTACACTTAAGATAATGGCAATTAGGGCAGCCTAATCAAACCAATTTTTCATAGTAGACATTCCAAGCAAGAGTGCCCCGGTCAGCCCCCACCATGGGATCCATTGTCCCAACTTCAACCTACATATGGAATAATATTATTGTGGTGAAGATTCCCATATATTGCTTTTGTGGGACACACATATTAAACTCGATTAGCAACAAATCACTATTTATTAGTCAAACCCTCCATTAATTGATGTTATGTGTCTCCTCATCAAGAAAGGTATTCAAAAGGGAAATGTAATCCTAGCTACTTTTTTTTTTTGGTCTCCTAGAGTTGTCATAGATCTGATCCATTCAAAATACGTATTTTAAAACGTATTTTGTTCTCAATTTTACTTTTTTTTTTGAAACTTATTCTGATCCGATTAGAATACCAATTTGTACAGATGGATGCAAAAATAAAGTTACGGGATGCAGTTGTGAAAACATAAATCGAGGGGGTGAACTACATATTATTTCAAAAAAATTCAAATCGTTGTGCCATAAGTTTTATCGTTGTGTATTTATTTTCCATCATTCACAATTTACGTTATGCAGTATCTCCTCCTAAAAAAACAATTGTAATTTGCCTTATGGAAATTGAAACAAGCAAAATTTATGAGGGCCTAGGCCAATTTAATTCCCTATTTTCAAATATTTTCTTATTTTCGGTAAAGATACATTAAAAAAACATGTATTAACAGTTAGTTAAGAAATAAAGGATTTCAAAGTAGTGGGCCCATGGGTTGGGTGCAGCCACACAATTGACCTGATTCAGCCTGACCCTGACTTTCTTGGGCCAAGAAATTAGCACAGTTCAAGCAATGTTATCAAAATCGGACTGGTCATCGAACCAGCAAGAAGACCGGATTAATGATTTATTGGTTTAATTGTTGGGTCAATTGGTCGGACCGGTTATATAATAAAAAAATAAAAAAATATATATAATAATTATAAAACTTAATAATTTAGCTAAAAAATATAAAATATGTATAAAATACATAAAATTTGCCATAAAATTAATGAAATTAAGTAACAAAGTGGGGGTTATTGTATTTTAAAGCAAAGTAAAGAGGTTCAAGTAAATTATAAAAAAAAAAAAGGGGTGTCATTTATAATTTTTCAAAGAATAAGGTTAAAAAAAATCAACTATTTACTAATTTAGGGCAAAAAAATTTATTTATGTAATTTAATTTTCAAATAGGCATTAAACCGTCCGGTTTTTATAAAATTGGCGGTTCATGGATTTTGTTAAAAATCGGCCGTTTTTCGATTTTTAGCCGGTTCGCTTCCTTAAGCGGTTCAACTAGGGAACCAGATCGGTTAGGGTCCTGGTTCACGGTTAAACCGATTTGATTGGCCGATCTGGTCTGGTTCTGATAACACTGGTCCCAAGACACGTGACCGCATACCAGATACTATTGACAATATCTTAGTGGTATGGTAGTATTAGGACCACCAAAANTATTAGATTAGGTGGAGGTTAAGTGTCTTTCATATTCTTTTCCTTCGCAATACGTGATGTAATTATTTTTTACTCATATTAAAGGTATTTAATAACTTCCTTAATTCTTGTATAAAAACTTTAAACAACAGATATTTAGGAAACGGAGGGAATACTTGATACAATACTTTGTAAATGGCACAGCCATAATTGCAGTGATATGGTCCCTCCAACACCCAACCGACCCCACTAATTGAGGAGGAAAGGAGAGATATAGGGAGGAAGAAGGGGAGGTGGAAAGTAAGCCACCTCTGGAGTAAGGCATTCACACTATGTATGATTGTTTAAAAGTTATGTACATAACATTCGGTTGGGGATGAGAAATTTGGAATGTCATACATTTGTAAATTGGTTCATAGCCTACAAAAACTTTTGAACTTAACGATGTCTGGACGAGAGAATTAGTTGGTAGTCTTTCCTAAAAGATGATTTTTAGAGTTTAAACTCGTGACGAATTCATTAGATAGATGATGTTCATACCCATTACTCGAACCTACGATTTATCGCTTAGACGGATAAATGTCTTTGCTCTTAATTCAACATCTACATTTCCTTAGAAAATTATCAATACTAAGCATTTCTCATCTCATTACTCTCTGAATCCACACACATCTATATTTACTTTGAAAAATAGCTACAATGAATTGGACCATTTTTATTAGTTAAATTTGATCTATAAACTTGGTGCAAATGACATTATTGATAGGACAATTTTAATTGCATTTATTGCCCTATAGAATAAGCAAATGCAAGCTTGGCCATTGGACCACTGTATTGATGATAATTAATTGTTGGACCACAAACCCATTTTTTTTCCCTTAATCATGCCACATCGTCATCAAATTTATCTTTCACAAATTAAAATACAAATCCCACTTTAAAAATGAATTCAATAATACTAAAATTTTAGTAAATCAAATAGATTAATTTGGGGCATTATAATACACATTCCATTATAAAAACAAAATTCTAGGTACTTCTGTTATTGTCGAGTAAAATTAGAGTAAATATTCAATATGATAGTTATTGCACATTTTGAATCTTATCTCTACTAATTGAATTCCGCTATATAAATCTTATTTCTTTATTGTGTCGTATCAACTATTATATTTTTATGATAAACTGTAGGCGGCTATATCGGTTTCTTATTTCTTTTAAAGTTAATTTTGACTTACCTCTATTTTTTGAATTAATATTGATGTGGATCAAAAAAAAATTATTTGTATAAGCATGTTCATATATAGCACCTAATTGGATTTTTTTTTCTTGGTGGTGGTGATTACTATTGGTCAAGAATAACGATGTTCAATAAATCTATAGAATGTTTTTTCATGATTTATGGTACCATATATTAATGATGACTTGACATTATTATTATTATTATTATATTTATTTATTCAATAAATTGAGAAGAAATGGTAAAATTAGGAAAATAAATATATTGGAGGCATATCTATCCGTATATGTGCACATGCATGGTTATAAACAATCCTTCCTCTGTTATATCATTACACACACTCTCTCTCTCTCTAAAGAACAACACAGAAGAAGTAGAAGAAAGGGGAAGGAGAAAGAGAAGCAGCCAACAAGCAAAAAGAGAGAGCAATTCCACGGCAAGAATTCACATGGAAGTTGGCCTGAAAATGACCAACATGCTCGGAGAAGAGCGTGGAGGCTATAGCTGGAACCTCAAGGAGACTGAACTATGCCTTGGACTGCCCGGCGGTGGAGGCGATGCCGAAACGATGAAGATCACCGGAAAGAGAGGATTCTCTGAGACTGTTGATCTGAAACTCAACCTTCAATCCGGTGAATCAAAAATGGATCTGAAGGAGAAGATGAAGAATTCGTCAAAGGACAAAAATATCCTTCCTTGCAACAAAGATCCAGTGAAGCCACCTGCCAAGTAAGCCTTTGTAATTATAAGCTTTCTATGTATGATCTCTCTCTCTCTCTCTCTCTCTCTCTTTATAGTATCATGGCTGCGAGCAGTAGAACTGGGTAATTGTCTTTTCTATAGTCAGATATATGTGTGTATGGTGGTTGTATTGTAACGTGGGTGTTACGCATTTGTGGGAACTTTTCACAAATGGAGTAAAATTGTGTATATTTGACCCTATACAGTGACGGAAATTGAATCTCTAGGTGCTTTTTTATATGTATGTACAGGGTACCCACATACATATATACGTAGACTGTGGTTTTCAGTCCTTGATGTAAGATCAATTTCAATGTTTTGTTGTCTTAAAGGTCTTTTATTTGCACTTACTTATATTTATTCTATTATCTTTAATGGTTTTGCAGGGCACAGGTGGTGGGTTGGCCACCAGTTCGATCGTTTCGGAAGAACATGATGACTCAAAAGAGCAACACAGAGGAGACTGAGAAGACCTGCAATGGCAGCGCCGCTGCATTTGTGAAGGTTTGCATGGATGGAGCTCCTTATCTTCGTAAGGTGGACTTGAAAATTTACAAGAGCTACCAAGAACTCTCTGATGCCCTGGCCAAGATGTTTAGTTCCTTCACCATGGGTAAGTAAATGATAACTGCATATCTAACAGATATGAGAGAGAGAAATAGCAAGAGTTTCATAAGTATACAAGTCCCATGTTCTTATTCCTAGAATTACACATTTTTTTCCTCATATGGGTCCATATTTTGTTCCCTCATCTAGAGTAAGTATTATCATAGGCTCTCTCTAGAAGAATTTTTCCAGTGATTCATAAAATTTTATTATTTTTGAGTTTACCAAGATAACTAAAACAAAATTCACACGTATGGGTCAGTTTACCAATTGAATACATAAAAGAGGTAGTCATAAACTAATGCGTCCTGAATCAAATCTCTTGGTTGTATAAAATTCAGATTTAACATATACTAGTGACTGTGTGCAACCGAGTTTTGGGTTGTAATCTTTAGTTCAAAAGACATGTAATTTACGCAATTTACCATTTAAAGAAAAAACGTATAACTCCTTGTCTGATATTCGATAGCCTACTGTTTTCGAAGTTAAGCAGAATAATGACTAAATCTCATAAAAGCTGGATCTTAGAATCATTTTTGGTGATGCTAAAGCCTAGCTTTGTTATTACAATAATATGAAGATTATATTAAAAGTAATTCCACTAGCTGTTGTGGGTTCTTATTGTAGGTAACTATGGGGCCCAAGGCATGATTGATTTTATGAATGAGAGAAAGTTGATGGATCTGTTGAACAGTTCAGAGTATGTGCCCACCTATGAAGATAAGGATGGTGATTGGATGCTCGTGGGCGACGTTCCATGGGAGTATGTTACTCATTCTCTAGAAAACCCTAATTCCTGCACAATTATCAAACTAATCCACAGAACCAACTAAACCTATCTAGTGTTCTGATTAGACAAATCCATGAACTGTTAGATGTGTTTAACAAATCCGTTAGAACCTCAAAATAATATAATAACTCAAAAGAGAATTATCTAAAAAGGTAGTCTAGTGGACGAATTTTTTGCTACTGCAAGGTCTAAGGAGAATTACGCCTAATCCCTATTTGATTTTATGCAGGATGTTTGTTGATTCATGCAAGCGCCTGCGTATAATGAAAGGATCTGAAGCAATTGGACTTGGTATAGTTCTCAACCTGCAATTTTTCTATTAGCCAGTTTTTTTCTCAACAGCTGTACTATTATGTGAAGAGTTCAAGCTCTAGCATTTTGGAGCTTATATGCATTATAATGATCCTGATGTTTTAGTTATAAAGCAGATGACTTCTATTACTAGTATTAAAGAGACGTATTCATTGTTTTCTAACTTCTAATTGAATGTTTTTTTTGGCTGTTGTTACTGATATTTTTATTCGCACATCTGAGTGTCTAGTAGCCTGCGCCCGTGCACTGGGCCGACTGGACCGCCTTTTTTTGGTTACTGATACGGTTCTTTCAAATTTCAGCACCAAGAGCCATGGAGAAATGCAAGAGCAGGTGCTGAAACATACCCACAATGACATACTCATCCAAGTTCAGCATTCAAAGAAACAAAAAGATGAAGCACTACTGCAAGATGGATCAAGTACAAGGGTGTTGTGTCTGCATGTGCCTGTAATTTTATTTGATAGTATATAGCTATCAAAGATCTGGACATTTGTAATGGACAAGAAGCAATAAACTTGTACCCTATTGTCTGGCTTGTTTATTACTAATGGCTTGCTCAATAATCTTTTTAATTTTTTGTGATTGTTATTGTTGTCCTTGCTGTCTAAGTTGCTGTGTGTTTTTATTCCTTCAATTCTAAGGCTACTTTCTGTTGGCTCATCAGATTCTTCATATCTTGTATTTACTTTGTTTAACCCCATTAATTTATTTTATATTGTCATTATTTTGGCTGAGGAAAGGTATTAAAATTCATGACCCAAGTGGGTGAGGGAACAAGGCCATGTGCTTGTTGATGGGGTTCCATTTTATAGCCATTTGTTTATTTGTTGGTTGAGATAATCAATTATTTCTTCTCTGACTGGTGAATGTAGGCCTGGATGGATTGAATGGGATGGAATTATATGCTTTGTGACGGTGGTTAGGAACACATGCATGCCCCATATGTGTTGGTTTTTTATTCTAATTGATTTCTGTGAGATTACTATTGACTTAATTCATTATAGTTATTAAATTAGCAACAACTTCTAATGTTGGATAAGAGTCCCCCGCCAATGCAACAATTGTAGCGGATAAGATCAACAAATTTATATAATAAAGTAGAGCTAAGTTTGAATTCAGAGAAAAAGAGAGGTTCAGATTGTTTTGAGATAAAATATAAATACATTCAACGGACAACATAATTTCAACATAAAAGACGGTTCAAATTATCTCATAAATATTGATCTAACGATCTACAATGAGTACTAAATATTATTTTTCCGCCCAACATTCTCTCTTCAAATCCCGTAATAATCACGCCTCTCCCTCTCGAATCTATCCAAATCTCTCAATTTTTGAATCCAACTAACGCCATAATTTTCTCCCCTTCCATGTTTTGCTCTTTATACCGTCCCTCCTTTCTCACTCCTCTGTCTTACTCTTTCTCTGTTTATCTATCCCCTTCCCTACCTCTCTGTTTGGGCTTTCCTTCCCCCCTTTCTCTCTATGGTCTATGCCTCTTCCATCCCAACCACCAGCGACCTTCCATGGAGCCACCAACCTCCTCCCCAACCACCCCACACTGAAACCACCCAACCTCCCATTGAAACCACCGCAAAAATAACGAACCCCACTTCTCTCCTCTCTCAGCAACTCCGGCTGCTTCTCACTCTCCAAGGTTAGTCTCATTCTCTCCCTCTCTCCTTTCTTCTCTTTCTCTTCTCTATTCTTCCTCTTATTCACAACACACACCCATACTCACCTGAACCCCTCCACTCCAAAAAAGAATCCCAGAAACCCCTATTAAAAAAACCCTCACCCAAAAACATTCCAGCCTAGAAAACTCTCTCGCTCTCTCTCCTCTCCTCTCTGCACAGCCCAAAACGCTCAAAAACTTGCACAAATAGTCACGCACACCACCTGTTAGATGGAAATCACCATCAGGAATAAAGAATGCTATATTGGGAGAACATGTTTGAATATTTAATTAATATTGTTTTGGAAAATATTGAACTCTGAATTTTTTTGTGATTTTGTAAGCCAGAAAACGAACAATGCAAAATAAACTGATATTCTGTATGGAAGTATGTGATCCTATTTCAGAACTGACTCTTCAAGATATTGGGAAAGTCATTAACGTTGTTTGTACGTTAATTTGTCCATCTATTAAATTTTTTTATTGGTTTAATTGGAATAAAGGTCTGAGGTTTGAGACCAACACTGTGTAGTTTGCCCTTACTTAACTATTTTGCATGTTATTCATTAGTTAATCAACATTTTGACTATAGTGTTGGTTGCTTATTAACGATGCACACAAGGTTGGGCTCCTCTTGCAGGGTAAACTTATAAGTTTTTCAGTCTTTTCACTTGGATTTTTTTTTTGCACCTGATTTTTTTTTTTTGATTTTGGTGTTCAGAGAGACACGTTCAACTTTTCTCAAACACAGAGCACCGAAAGCTATTGCGGAGTTGAAATTCCATTTCTGTTAATACAGAGACTACTTATCTTGGTGAAAAAGTTCCAATTTAATACAAAATATATTATAGTCCTAAATACTCCATTGGATAATTGGTGACTTTCGATTGATTTTTCTTCACTTTTGATGATTATTGTTGGTTTTACATTTTTATGCACAAACATTCCATCGTAGCATCTTTGGAATTGTTTGAATTCTTGGATTACGGTATTTTTTACTTTTCAAATAACAAAATTCGCATGTCAAAACTTATGAGTTCACATGAAGTTGAACGGTTAGAACACTTAGAGATAGGTGAAAAAATATATACTTTGAAATTTGAATATAGCCAAAGCAAGTCTTTTTTTTGTGGCAAAGTAAAGAAAATTTCATTGATGCTTATGGCTGCTACAAGAAGTAGAGCATAACTGCAATACCTCAACCAATTTAGTTCACTCTTTTTAATTGTATAGTTGTTGCATTTCTACTCCAATTTACTATATTGTGTTGGACCAAAATAGTTTTTTGAGTATAAAAATTGAGTTTTTGGTCGACTAAATTAAAATGGGACCCGATTGTTATTTTAAATAAAATTTCGTGGGTTCATATTCTACTCCGTGAGAAGAATAATATAGTGTATCACTTGCTCAAATTGAGTAAGAAATAAATGAGAAAATAGACTTCAAAGTGACCCTCTTAAAACATGGAAATAAAGAAAGTGCAATGTGGAATGTGACACCAACTCCACATTGGTTGATGAAAAAATTCACAATGGTATATATAGGCCAAGTTTGCTATATGGGATTGGGCCTCAAGGGATACCACAATTTTATGAGCGCAGCGAACACCTACATGCCTTCGGTTCAACCACACCCGCCCGCCTCGCCACGACCTGGCCGGATAAAATTTATTTAATTAATGGGCGAGAATTTCTTAATCCGATATTTAAATTTGGTACCCATTAGATCGCATTGGGTCGGTTTTTCAGTCCGACAAAATTGAAGAACAATTATTCGAGGTGTCCCCTGGTTGGTTGGTTTTTTGTTTCTGGGTTGTGTCTTTTAGTGTGGTGACTGTCCAAATAGTCACCAGACTATCTATAAATACCTAGTTCATGCATTCATTTTAAACATTCAATTAAACAGTCCATTAAGGCATGAAATAGTCTGCATTTCGCCATTAAGGTAGTGCATTTAGAAAGAGTACACAACACAATATTGGTTCGCTGGACGAGCAGATTGGAGTGGTACTTCTGTTCGTGTAAAGATCATTGTATCATAAGAGGCAGATGTTTGGTATTCCATAAGCACCGTGTGGGGGGGCGAAATCTGTCTTAAGGACATAGTGTCAAACACTTGCTTTGATCTACCTAAAGTTCAATAACAGTTCCTGTTCTGTAATCGGGTTAGTATTTTTTATTAGTTTAGCAAAAAATTTCTGTTTCACTCTTTACTGTAACTGTTTCGTTCTGAGTAACTATTCTACAGTTCACACTTACTGTTTTATTTTATTTTAAGTTACATAATATCAGAAATTTCAATAAGTGATTTTACTATATTTGGCACACCAAAAACCAACAATTTTAAGACAAATTTCTAATTTGTAGAGTTGCTTATTGTGTTTCTGATATATGTTTTAATTTTTAAACTATTCTAAAATATTATAAATTGTTAAAACCTGTTTTGTTTACGATCTGTGATATTTGGAAGAGATTTGAAAATTTGCATATTCTATTTTTTGTGATTAAATTCAAATAGTTATACCAAATTGTTACAATTATACCAAACAGTGACACTGTCTCTGTTTTAATAACTTGTTTTGGAAAGTTTTACTGTTTTTCTATTTTGAATCATTTGTAATCTTTATTTATCAGAAATGGTTTCAAATGATAATATTATTTCTACTACTACAAATCATGTTGTGCCTGTGGTGCCTATTTCTGTTCCTACTCATGTGTCTCATGGGGAAAAACCCGAAAAATTCAATGAAAATGATTTTAAAATATGACAACAGAAAATGCTGTTTTATCTTACTACGTTGAATCTTGTAAGTTTCGTCATAAGGATGCTCCTGTTTGTAGTGAGAATGAGACCGATCACCAAGTTATTGTTGCGGTAGATGCATAGAAGCATTCTAATTTTCTGTGTAAAAATTATATCCTCAATGGATTGGATAACACATTATATAATATGTATAGTCCAATCAAGACGGTTAAAGAGCTGTGGGAATCCTTGGATAGAAAATACAAGACGGAGGATGCCGGAATGAAGAAATTCGTTGTGGACAAATTCTTTGACTATAAAATGGTGGATTCCAAGACTATCATAAGTCAAGTTCAAGATCTTCAAGTGATCCTGCATGAGATTCATGCCGAAGGGATGGTGCTTAATGAATCTTTCCAAGAGGCTGCAATTATTGAAAAATTACTGCCAAATTGGAAGGACTTCAAAAATTATTGGAAGCACAAATGCAAAGAAATGAAATTTGAAGACTTGATCATGAGATTGAAGATTAAGGAGGACAATAGAGTCTCTGAAAAGAAAGTTGGAAATTATTCCATGGAGTCAAAAGCACATGTGATTGAAGAGGGATATAAAACCAACAAGAAAAGGAAGTATGTTGGCCAACAAGGAGCCAAGAGTGGTTATTCCAAAAGGTTCAAAGGCAACTGTTTTGTGTGCAATAAACCGGGGCATCGTGCAAAAGATTGTTGAAGCTATAAAGCACAAGGGAACCACAAGAGGAAGTCTGTCTAAGCTAATATAACCGAGGTAGAAAAATTTTCTAAAAATATTTCTAACATAAGTTTTTCTGTTGTAGTATCCGAAGTGAACTTGGTGGAAAATACCAAGGAATGGTGGGTGGACACCGGGACCACTAGACACATATGTTCAGATAAGAAGATGTTCTCTTCATATGAAGCAATGAATGATGGGGAACAACTCTTCATGGAAAATTCCTTCACTTCCAAAGTTGAAGGCAAAGAAAAAATTATATTGAAGATGACTTCCGAAAAAGAACTTACTCTCAATGATGTGTTACATGTTCCAGAAATTCAAAAGAATCTTGTGTCTGGATCATTGTTGAGTAAAAATGGTTTTAGGTTAATTTTTGAGTCCGATAAATTTGTATTCACCAAGAGTGAGATTTATGTGGGCAAGGAATATATGAGCGATGGGCTCTTTAAGATGAATGTAATGACAATTATATCTGATTTTAATAAAAAGAACACATCTTCTGCTTATATGTTTAAGTCTTCCAA